CACAGACCCCTTGCTCACCCCCTCCCCACCCCCCATGGTTTTGGTCAACCACTTTCAGAGAGGGGACCATTGTGGTTCAAATTGTGGTAGCAGCTCACACTGAACTTAACCCCAGCCGCTGGCAAAGGCGTTGGGTCGTGTCACCCATCAGCAGCTGAACTTGGCTTTTCTGGGGGCTGTTCCTGTTCCCATCGCACACAGCCTCATTTGAGAAGAGGGAGCAGAAACACCCATCAAGCATTTAGGGAGAATGAGGATGAGAGTCCTGGGGCCCCATTTTGCTCCATCCAGCTCTGTCCTCGGGGAGTGCCAGAATTAAAGGCATTTATAGCCCTGGCCGGTTTGCTTGAGCGGTTAGAGTGCCCACCGGCAGACCAAAGCATCACAGGGTTGATTCAGTTTGGTCCCCAGCCCTGGTCTGGATCATGCCAGAGGGAGGCAACCGATCCATGTGTCTCTCCCACATCGATGTTTCTCTCTTTCCCTCCCTCCCACTCTGCCTGAAAATAAATGGAAAAAGATCCTCGGGTGAGGATTTTTTTTTAAGGCATTTATAATGAGGAAGGAAAGAATATTTTGTATGCCCGTATTCAAAAGCCGCATAATTCACAATAGGCAAAAGATGGAAACAACCCAAATGTCCGTAATGGATGAATGGATAAACAAGATGTGGTGCATACATACCGGAATATTATTCAGCCTTACAAAGGAAGGAAATTTTGATATATGCTACAAAATGGATGAAGCTTGAAGAAATCATGTTCAGTTAAATAAGCCAAACACAAAAGGACAAATATTGTATAATTCCACCTCTGTGAGGTACCTAGAATAGTTAAATGCACAGAGACAGAACGAAGGGTACCAGGGCCCAGGGGATGAGAACATTAGGGAGTAATGTTGGATGGTAATTTTATGTATATTTCACCACAGTTTTTAAAAAAGGAAGGAAAGTGTGTTTGAGCTTTTCACTGCCTGCCCCCAGGTCCTTTTCTGAAGGAAGACTTCTGGGTGTCCTTGCTGCTATGTGAGGCAGTGGTTAGTGACCAAATACCCAGTGGGGTGCCAGTAAATGATCAACACCAGTCTCTCCAACCAGTACAAAAATACCTGTATGCAAATATGCTGCCCAAGTTTATCTTCAGTTTTACTCATATAAAAGATGTGAGTCAGCCCTGGCCGGTTTGGCTCAGCGGTTAGAGCGTCGGCCTGCGGTCCGGAGAGGCCCGGGTTCAGTTCCCGCTAAGGGCATGTACCTCGGTTGCAGTTTGTCCCCGGCCCTGGTTGGTCATGCGGGTGGCAGCCACTCGATGTGTCCCTTTCACATCGATGTTTCCCTCTCTCTCTCTTCCTCTCTCTCCCTCCCACTCTGTCTGTGCAAAAAATGGAAAAATGTCCTCAGGTGAGGAAAAAAAAAGATGTGAGTCACACAATTTGTAAATAGTAATAAAGTAGCCAACACTTTATTTTAAATTCCACATAGGCAATCAATTTCCACAGAATGATTTTACTGACTCGTGCAAACTTCCATACCCACAGTCAGCAATGTTTGCAATCGATGAACAAGTATGGTCCTGACATGAATGTTGGTTGATGTTTTCACTTATTTTAGTGAGTGAGACAAAAGTGAAGCACAAAGATATATGTTGGCATGTCACTTAGTCATCAATGATGTAAGCAATTTTGGATAAATTGGATAATAAATATTTCCTCAATTCCTCGTGTTATTGACAATGTAACAGCTATAGACACAACACACTTAAGTTTAATCGATACTATTATTTTCTCCACCATGTTGTTACATCTAAATAATCAATAAAACAGTATTTTAAGCCTCGATTTGTAGCATTTGCTGATTTCTATGGTGTAAATACTCCCACTGTGGCTGATTTCTATCTACCAATATGAAGCCACTTGGAGGCAGAGTTAGAAGGGGGATACAGTGAGAAACCATTGTGTAATATTTCCACACAACAGATGTAGACACATTGATACCTACACAGATAGTAACATATGCTAAAATAATTAGAATGTGATGGGTTTGTAGTATTTATTATGTTTTAAATATCGTGTTTTTAATTATGTTTGGATTTTAATGTGTAAATAACTGTTTGACAACTAGCTTACAAAATTACTAAAAATTTAACAATTGGCTCTCCCATGGTTTGATAAACCATGCAACACCTCGTTTCTCCATGGGCACTATGGAGCCACTGCCTCTAATGCAATCCCAGGAATCGCAGAAATTGGAGGTTCACATTGGCCTTATGACATCTCTCTAGATTTTTCTCCATTCTCTACTTTCTTTTTAATCTTCACCTGAGGGTATGTTTTTATTGATTTGAGAGAGACGGAGAGAGAAACATCAATGTGAGACAAACATCAATCGCTTGCCTCCCATATGAGCCCCAACCAGGGATGGAACCTGCAACTTAGGTATGTACCTGAGGGAGAATCAAACCCAAAACCCTTTGGTGTACCGGACGGCAACACTCCAACCAACTGAGCCACCTAGCTGGGGCTTCTTTCTCTATATTCTTTGTGCTTGCATGGATCTTGTTATTTTCTGGTGCAGCATTCTCTGTGCAGTGTTTCTCACAGATGCATTTTCTTCTGTTTCTTCTGTGGTTCTCCTAGGCACGGTCATTTGTTTGCGTCTGTTTCCCTCTTCTTATTCTCCCTGCAGTCTTGGCTTTCCCTCCGCTCGTTCCCCTCCCCCCCTTTCCATCCACCAGCACACGGCTTTTCTGTTTCCATTTTCCATGGTTTTCACCAATCTTCCCTCTCTTCCTTTTCTAGACTAGCAAGGGCTTATGTATAAAAGGAGGACACAGGGATCCATGTTTACCCAAGAATAATGAGGAAATCTACAGCAGGTTCAGCCTTCTGGGCCATTTCCTTCCTAGTTTTCTGATGCTCTGTGAAGCATTTTCATGAACTCAACAATCAGAACAGAGGAGAAACTCTACAGATGTATAGCAAACGGGATCCTTGAAGTGGCTGCCCATTAAATGGGATTTCATTAGTGTGAAAAGCATAGCACAGGAGGAACAGGTGAGAAAAGTTAATAAACCCTGTAATAAAATGAGGCAATAAAAAATGGTACAAATTCCTGGAGGACTTATTAAGAAAATATCCTTTCAAAACACCCCAATGACATCTGGTCATCAAATATTATGTAAGTCATAGACACTTTCAAAGAGAAAAAAATTTTATAGACCTTTTTTTTGTTGTTGTTAATCCTCACCCAAGGATATTTTTCCATTGATTTTTAGATACAGTAGAAGGAAGAGAGAGAGAGAGGGAGACAGAGAGAGAGAGAGAGAAGAACATCAATGAGAGAGAGAGAGACATATCAATTGGTTGCCTCCCACGTGACCCCAACTGGGGCCAGGGATCGAACCTGCAACCCAGGTACCTGCCCTTGACTGGGAATCAACCATGACCCTTTGGTCCATGGGCTGATGCTCTAACCATTGAGCAAAATAGGCCAGGGTATGTTATAGACCCATTTTAAAGGAAAAGTAGTTGTCAGGGACCTTCAATATTGCCTTAAATATTTGTTATTATATTACTTAAATAATACACATATAAACTAGGCATAAAGCCATATACTTATAACCCTCATATAATTGTAAAAACATGTACAAAATATACAAACAACACCATGAAAATCAGTAAGATTTTAATGAACAACATTAATTTAATGTGACAAATGTTCTTGAAACTAAGTTGCCACTGTTAGGTTTTAACATTTGGCTTATTGAAAATAAATTTAGTTAATAAGCAAATAAATCTTGACTTTGTTCATTGGTGGCAGGAGGCATCGCTGTTCTTCCCAGTGCCCAACTCTTCACTCCCACATAAACATTAGGCAGTGAAAAGCACCAGCTATCATATAAGAAAGGATTTCTTCTCTCTTATATTCTCCCAATTATCACTATTAATAAACAAACAAAAGAAGGAAAAACAAGGAAAGCAAATATATGTATTTGGTATTTAATTTTACGGTCTTAAAAGTGGGGTGTTTGGGGGGTGGGATTTTACCTTTTTCTTTTCTGATTTTTATCTCTCGAGCCCCATTTCTGCCCAGCAATGGGAAAGTCATCTTACCAACCCAGACCCTCCTATGGAAGGAAGATTTAGTCCATTCATTTTTATCCTCACCCAAGGACATTTCTCCATTTTTTGTTGAGACAGAGTGGGAGGAGAGAGAGGAAGACAGAGAAACATTGACGTGAAAGGGACACATCCAGTGCCTGCCTCCCGAATGACCCCAACCAGGGCCTGGGGCAAACCACAACCAAGGTGCGAGGTGCGTGCCCTTGACTGGAATCACGAGTAATTGGTCCGTGGGCCAGCTCTCTAACTGCTGAGCCAAACCAGCCAGGGCAGAGAGTCCATTCTTGCTCCTCTCATGCTTTTCCTGGAAAGTGAGCTAAGTTGCAGGGTCACATGCTAAGAGCTGGGGTGCAAGTACTCTGGTCCTTTGGCTCCTAGACTTGAGATGCTTAAGACCCCAAACTGAAAAATGAAAGGTAAAAGTGTCTTAAATATCAGGACTATCTTTTGATCACTTGCAAATTGTCTCTTTTCCCCTGCCTCTCACTCTGACAGACAATAGACTGTTTGAGGAACCTCAGCGTGTCTTTCACTTGAAACAGTGAAGAATAATTAAAAGTGAGAAGTGACAAAAACATCAGATTGCCATTAACCTAACTGCTGACTGCTTTTGGAGCCTGGGGAAATGTGGCATCAAGCCCAGGGACTTCTGTGCATACCAGCTATGTAACTCTGTAAAAGTTGCTTAGCATCCCCTGGCAGGTTTGGCTCAGCAGTTAGAGCATCCACCTGCGGAGCAATAGGTCTGGGGTTGATTCTGGTCAAGGGCACCTCCCCTGGTTGCAATTTGTACCGGCCCTGGTCAGATGGTGCAGGAGGCAACAGGTTGATGTGATAATATTTCCCTCTGTCTCTCTCCCTCCCTCCCACTCTATCTAGTGATAAATAGAAAAGTATCCTCAGGTGATGAAGAAGGAAAAAAAAGTTGCTTATCTTCTCTTAGCTGCAGCTCCCTCATCCGGACGCGGCAATGAGACTTACACTATAAGCTCAAGGTAAGGTGAAAGTGACATTTTACCTAAAAGACTAATTTGCAAACTAGAGTTCTATACAGATGTTTGCTGCTGTTATTCAACACTGATTTCCTCAAAAGCAGGGACACACGTTAATCTTCGAAACCACAGCATGCAGCGCAGAGCCTGGCCCTGCGGCCCTTCGGGAACGTCACTGGGTTGAATTATTGGAAGGGCCAGTGTCCGTCACAAATCATACCAGTTGTTCTGACAGAGATCGTCTCAAACTGGAATTGGTCCAACAGACTGTGGAGCGCGGAAAGGCGAGGTGAGAACAGGGGTAAGACGGACACGACAGCCACTGCAGGAGGCAGCTCCCACCCGGGGGGACGAGGGGCCGGGCGGAGCTGCTGTCGCTGAGGGGGTGCCAGGGTGCGAAACCTGGAAGCTGGGACTTCTGGCTGCTGGAGTGGCTGTGGCTCCCGGGGTGGAGACTCACCGCCGTGGTGACCATGAGGGGAAGAGCAAGCCCGACAGGAAAGGGCTGGTGCCTTCTCCTGCTCCAGCCCTTCCGTCGCTCTCTTGTGCCCCCTACTGGCAGAGCCAGCAAGGATCCGCTGGCAAAGCGAAAGGTGGAGGCGAGGCCCAGCCTCACAGGGCCCAGTGTAGGGCGGGTGAGATGAGCGATAGCTTGATAACCTCGCAGCCCTACCTCTGGTAAATGCGGGGGACTTGAGCCAGGCCCTTGTGTGTGTTGGGAGGGGTGAAGGTGGGGGTATCACGCCGCAGCCAGCAGAGAGTAGGCACATCCACACCCAGAAAGCTGCTCACACCCCCGGGTTGCTGGGGCCGGTTGGGGGTGGGATGAGAGGCAGAGAGGCCCTCTGCAGCGGTGGGAGGCAGGTGGCAGGAGCCCTCCAGAACGTTCCAGCCGGTGATGTGACTTGGCTCCCTGGGCAAATGCCCAACTGGCCTCAGTGGATTTAAGAACAAGGAGAAACAGCACTTTTGGTGATTTTCATCCCTCCCCACCCCTTCTCCAAAGAAACACTGATTATGCTGAGGCTATGAGAAGACGGATAGTAAGATTAACTCTCTGGCTCAAACCTGAAAAGATGTGTTTGTGTTTTCCTGTTTAAGTCGGAATCTAAATGGAAGTGTTATTTCTTGCATGTCGCCTGGGCTGAAGTTGAAGAGTTGTGGCCCATCTATCACATTGCAGCAGAGGTGGCTCGCGAGAGGAGGGGAATTCTGCTCCCTGAAAGGTAACCATTTGCAGACAGCCAGCTCTGATGCCCCCATGAGGGAGGCAAGACTAACTTCTCAGTGGGAACCTCTTCCAATGTGCTGTCTGTCAGTCTATCTATCTATCTATCTATCTATCATCTCTCTCTCTCTCTCTCTCTCTCTCTCTCTCTCTCTCTCATTCCAGGACAGGTCACACCATTCAGGCCCTCATAGACACATCCACCCTGGGGGCTACAGTGAAGGAGGACAGTGGTGCTGACTTCAGGTCCCACTCCACTTTCTACCTTTTTTCAGCAGGCTCCTTTCCCCCAGTCTACCTGGAGGCATGATGTGCTTTCCTGCTGGCCCCTGGCTACCTGGCACCCTGACCCCCCAGCCCACCTTGCAGTCAGGTCTTCTATTCCCAGACAGACCTTTGTCTGGATCCCTCACACCATATTCCCACCCAACCATAGCCAATCTCATTACTCCATCTATCAGGTCTCTCTTATCTGTTTTCCGGGGGCTTGGTTATCTCCAGAGGCGGAGGTGGGGGTGCTGCTGCTATGGAATTGGAGGTGGAGCATTTCTTCAGACCACAGGCATAGCTTTGTGGTAAGTGTTAGCGCTACAGTGATTGTTCAGTGGATTCTGTGGAGCCCATGACAACCAGCACTGTGACTGCTCCCTGAATACAGACAGTGGGTGGCCCGAGGTGGGCACTGTGCTTCTGCCGCAGCAGCTGCCAGAGGCAGAATGCAGGACACTCGAGTCTACAGGCACTGTCAGTCACAATTGAAGCTAACAAGAATCAAAAGAGAATGGGTACAATCAGCCATCTGCAGAAGCAAAGCACTTCAGAGTTGTAAACAGGAGCCAGCAGTTCTGCCAAATACATTCAGGAGACAAGAGTATCTCTCGAGCTGATGAAGAGACCAGAGTGACTGTAGAATGTGGGCCCTTTGTACCCTGAGGACAGGGACTTTTTTTAAACTAATCTTTTCATTTATTTATTTTTTTCTTTATTGATTTTTAGAGAGAGAGGAAGGGAGAGAGAGAGAAACATAGATGGGAGAGAACATCGATTAGCCACCTCCTGCATGCCTCCAATTGGGAGATCGGGCCCACAACCTGGGCATGTGCCCTAACCAGGAATCGAACCAGCAACCTCTTGGTGCATGGGTAGATGCTCAACCACTGAGACACACTGGCCGGGCAACTGGAACTTTTTTTTTTTTACGTGATCTAGTTTATCATGTCACGACTGACTACCTGATAGCATGATGGTACCCTGTATGGGTTCTAGAACCTAGGAGAGGGAGCCAAAGGGCAAATATTTGTCAGGGTTTATCCTGTGCAGCCAATATTATGTTTGACAGGTCACGGGATAAAATAAAAGCCAACATTTACAGGACACTTACTATATGTGTCAGGCCAGAGGTAAGTAAGCTTTACATCCACTTTTTCATTTAATCCTCATAAGCACATTATGTGGTAGGTTTATCCATCAGCCTTCTGTGACTTTGATTTCTGGGAATCAGTCTCCAACAGCCTGATTTATTCTCGGAACCTGATGACACTGAGTATCTGAACTTGCAAAGTTAAGAGTTGGGAACATGGGGACTCGGCCAACATACAGCCACCCTAGGATGCCAGGATGAAACAGATGTCTGGACTCTCCTAAATCACCTTGATCACAGAGAGATCATCTGTTCCAGCCCTTGGTTGACCCAGGCAGCTTTAAAGTCATTGCAAGATGTAGGACTCCAAATATGCAAAACCCAGGTTGGAACAGTAACATGACATGGAGTTCCAATGGGTCAGTCTCTGGAAACTCGAACTGTTTGCATCACACGTGCTTTACTTTCAAGGCTTGTAAATAGAAACAGGAATGCATTCCCCTAAAGACAGGTGACATGTCTCAAACAGCTTGTAGGGGACAAAAGAGGGCATGGGGTGGGGGAGTGTGTTGGCAAGGATTCCAACTGCTCAGGAAAGGAGAGGAAATCCTACTCCCCAAAAAAAGCATCTTGATGGAAGATTTGAAATTTGAATCATTCACATTATAATTTTACCACAATGTATAAATATCTAAAAGGAAAGAATCATTATTATTCTGATACAGCTTTTAGTCTAATTTCAGTCCGAGCTGATGACTCCAAGACAACTGATTGCCCTGGGGAACACCCGTCCACTGCCCTCACATAGTCTAAACCAGCAGGGGCGGGGCGCTGGCATGCTGCTACTGCGCCAAGATGACAGTGGCTGGCTAAGTGGGTCTGGTTTGGTAATTAGACCCTTTATTCTAGCTCTCAAAAGTAAAGCCAGACTCAGCAACTTTCTTAGTGACATATTCCTACCTTCTTCCAGATATGGATACTGATCCAAGAGGTATGTTTATAGGAACAAAAAAAATTTTTTAAATGGGTATTGAGGATCAGAGAAAACTTGTAAAACAGTACATACCTGAAAGACAGTGAGACACCGTCCAACTCTACACCGATGGATGAATGCATGCGGACTCTGGGATATCGCATCGGCATGGACTTCAAGAAGGCATGGACAGGAAGAAAAAGAAGTTATTTAAAAATATATTTACTATATTATATATCTATATATGTTTAATAGATCTATTTTTCACACTCCTTCTCCTTCCTAACCAGGTCTCCTTGAAGTCCATGCTCATGCAGTGTCCTGGATTCCCATTCATTCATCCCCTGCTTTCTGCCATCCTTCCACAATTTAATACCAGAGATGAGACAGTAAACGATGAGCAGGGTACTTGTGGTATTTTAGTTTCAGAATGAGGGGAGTGGTGCAAAAGGGCAACTATTTCTAAGACTGTGTCTCCACAGTTTCAATGTTTCCAACTGTCTCTTTCAATCAAATCAAGCATGGTGACCCCAGTGTGATTGGAACATCTAATCCTCTCAGCTTTCCATGGCTATGTAGACAAAAAACAAAACAAAACCCACAAACAAAAAACAAAAACATCGATCCTATTGCAATTATTTTAAGAAGTTTCAGAAGGGTGGCAATTGAGTGAAAATTTGCATGAGTCTGTGAACCAGTGAAAATAATTATAGGTAGAATGTTTTTAATTTTACAATTGTAAAATTTTTTTTACTGACTTTTTAAGTAACGCAGCTCATTACAGAAAATTCAGGAAAGCACAAAGAAAATAAAAATCACCAATAACCCTCCACCCACCCAGCTGTGAAGAACTTGTTCAACCTAAGCAGCAGAGCTAAATGAATCTTCCCTGGTCAAGAAACCTTCTAAGATGCTGTGGTATCTGCCCTTCGGTCCCAGAGTTTCTCATCCACAGTCCCAACGCCAATGTTGACATGTCCTGGGCAGAACTGAGAGCCCCTATAAAGTGAATGTTCAGGATCCCCAAGGAGGATTCTGCCCAGAAATAGTTTTTTCCAATCTGCCCCCCAGAATCAGAACACAGGAAACAGCACTTATTATTTCAGTTAAAATTGGCTAAACGTAAATATGCATTGCCTTAAACTCATTCACAGTAAAATGTAAATAAGGATTTTCTGTGTTTCTACAAGAAGGGGACCCCTGCAGAGCGCTAGGCATCCAGGTTAGGAAGCAGAGTGCCCTGAAAGACAATCGCAGGAATTAGCTGCTCTAATGTTAGGCAGCCCTCTGCCTCAGTGGTCCTTCGAATCCCAAATGGACCCCATGATAACCCTAAACACGGCTGTTCTACCTGAGAGGTGCTTGTCCCCAGTGAAGTGGCACAGTGGCATCTCTATCACCTGGGAAAGCTGGTCTGGCACACAAGTCAGAGCACAGACATCATTTCTTTTCTACCTTCTTCTTTTTTAAAAATAGCCTCTTTCTCTCACGCCTCCTGTTACGATTAATTTAAAATAGCAGTGAGCCTAATCAGGCCAAGTTGTCCAGTTTCACGTGAGAATTTCTCATCTTTGCAGAGCACACAGATCTTCACACAGTTTGTTTTCATGTCTGATTAGACATGGCTTTGGGGGTCACTGAACCCCAAATTGATTAAATCCCTTAAATCTTCTTTGGGAAAGAGTCATCCTGTGTGTTTATTAAATAACATTATCTAGTCTTTCAGATTCTTTCACAATGAACTAATTCCCTTGTTTCTTTGGAATTCTTTGATGTTCCAAAAGTTTCTGGCACATTTTACATGAGACTTTTCTAGGTTGTTCTTCTTTAAAAACAGGAAGTTGACAAAAAGCCCCAAACACTTATTTTTGTTCCCAAAATTGGGATCGGGGATGTCCATGGAGTTCTAAAAATACCAAAAAGCTCTTTAACATTGAATTTGTTTTTTACCAAAAGATTCAATGGATTTAAATTTAGTCTGAAATGTGTCCAAAACTCTCCTGGTTAGGTTTGGAAGCACCTTCACATTTGTTAATATTCTTGGCTCTGAAAATATTACTCCTGGAAAATTGTTTATGTCTGTTTCTTGATAGGATAAATTATTATAACAACAACAAACTTCCCTGACAACAAAAACTGTACATTGAACCATTATATTATCTCTTTTATAGTAGGAACTGGCATATTGTAGTCTATGGGCCATATCCAACCACTTTGTTGCCTTTAAAAAAATAATATATTGAGTTGCAATTTACTAAAAAAAAATTAGCTATTTTAAAGTGAATAATTCAGAGGCATTTAGTACATTTACAGTGTTGTGCAACTACCGTCTCTATCTCAATCCACACATTTTTATCATTCCAAAGTAAAACGGTGTACCCATGAAACAATTTGTCTCTATTCCCTCTTCCTCCCAGCCTCTGGCATCCACCAATCTGTGTTTTGTCTCTATGGATTTATTTATTCTGGATCTTTCATATAAATGAGATCAATATGTAGCCTTTTGTGTCCAACTTCTTTCACTTAGCATAATGGAGTTTCATCCACATTTCAGCATGTGTCAATACTTCATTTCCTTTTGTGGCTGAATAATATTCCATTGTATATGTAGACAACAATTTGTTTATTGATGGACATTTGGGCTGTATCTACTTTTTAACTGTTGTGAATAGTGCTGCTATGAACATGCAGGTACATGTAATTGTTTGAGTTCCTGTTTTCATTCTCTTAGGTGCATACCCAGGAGTAGAATTGCTGGGTCATATGGCAATTCTATGTTTAACTTTTTGAGGAGGTGCCAAACTGTTTTCCACAGCAGCTGTACCATTTTACATTCCTACCAGAAATGTACAAGGGTTCAAATTTCTCCACATCCTTGCCAACACTTGTTTTTCTTTCTTTTTTTTTAATTGTTGTAGCCAATTGTCATCCCAGTGTCATTACCTGTTTTGTAAATAAAGTTGTTCTTTCTTTTTTTTTTTTTCTTGATTGATTTTAGAGAGAGGAAGGGAGAGGGAGAGAGAGGTAGAAAATCAATAAGAGAGAACATCAATTGGCCGCCTCCTGCATGCCCCCCACTGGGGATTGGGCCCACAACCTGGGCATGTGCCCTCACCAGGAATCAAACCAATGACCCCTTGGTGCTTGGGTCTATGCTCAACCACTGGGCCACACTGGCGGGGCTGTAAATAAAGTTTTATAGGAACATAAACGAGTCCATTCATTTACATATCTATGGCTGCTTTTGCTACAGTGGCAGATTACATGGCCCCTAATCCTAAAATATTTACTATCTGGTACTTTAAGAAAAAGTTTGCTGAACTCTATTTTAGAAGATTACCCTATCTTTTCCCTCTGTCATTTGTTTCCACAGCTCCCCCTAAATAAGACCAAATAATAGCATTGTGACCTTGGGTGACTTGGCTTATTTTGAGTCTTGAATTTCTTTACCTATGAAAAGATGGGGGAGCGGGGATAGCGGGGGGCGCCAGCGTCAGGTCAGACAGCTCAGGCACCTTCTCTGCCTCTAGGAGCCTCCGTGTGCCCACGTGTGCCCACTCGTGCCCGGGGAGGGAGAGGGAACCCCTGGCGAGCCCGCGTCGGAAAGAACCCCAAATTCTCAGCGGGAGAGAGGAAAGTGAGCAGGTGGACGACGAGGAAGAGGAAGAAAAGGGTGAACGTGATCTAAAAGTGATACTCAGTGTCCCACTCCTCTGCTCAACCCCCTTAGCATCCGGTGCTGCTTCGCACCAGATGAGCGTTCCCTTTAAATGACTGCAAGGCCCTCTCCAGTGATCCAGTGCAGTGTCCTCTTATTACCTGCCTAGTCTCAGTCAGTAGAAAAAGGCTCATCGTGGAAGGCAAGAGGGAAAAGAAAAAGGTTGACACTGCAAGTCTCTCCTTTACAAAGAGAGCCTTTTACAGTTGCACAAGGGGCAGAAACTTTGTGAAGTTGATATATTTTTTTCCTAAGGAAACAGAGAACTTAGAAATCTACATAAACTACAACAAACCAGGCACAGTAAGACCTTTTTTATACCTT